TATCCCTACCTTTTTTCACACAAGAATTGAGACCTTCATTTGCAGTGTTAGGATCTTTTGCTTTCCCGTTAAAGCTTCACAATACACGAAGAAGTGTCCTCACACGAAGAAGTGTCCTTAACTCTCAAGTATGCGACGTGCTTGGTTTCGCGGTCCAAGTCCGTCGATTTAGGCTCCTTCGATTTAACTCTGCCGTTAGGTGCGAAGTGTGGTAGGTGCTACGAGCCCTCTGCCCCATTCGAAAAGAGATTCGAATGGTTCACCGGTTCCACCGTATGCTCTCTGGGTTGAATTGAGTACGCAGTGCGCTTCTGATGCTGTTGCCATACGACGGCCATAAGATCACTGAAATTCGCTCTTATTCTTCTTCGCGTTTCATGCTGAGAACTGTACATGCGGAGAAATAATGTACATCCGTTGATGCTACCATAGTACGAGAAGCACTTTTTCGCCACTGTTTTCACAATTCTTCTTCTTCTTCTTCTTCTTCTTCGTCGTCGTCGTCGTCGTCGTCGTGTCGTCGTCGTCGTCGTCGTCGTGTCGTCGTCGTCGTGTCGTCGTCGTCGTCGTCGTCGTCGTCGTCGTGGTGGTGGTGGTGTCTTCGTCATCGTCGTCTCCTCGTCGTCGTTTCTAAGGTGAGGAGGAGACAAGGAACCCAGGAAGAATGATGAGGAGGTAGCGGCAGAGGACGAGACGAAAAGGAAAAGCACGAAGAGTTTGTAGAGAGAAAAAAAAGCAAAATGGAGGTCCACCCTCGTATTCTCTTTTTTCTCCTGGTATTTCCTTGTCGTTCTAATTGAGCAGGACTAGTTTAATACGAAGGAGGAGGAGGAGGAGGAGGAGGAAGAGGAAGAGTGGAAGATAAAAAGGAGCCCCTTCTTCTCTCCTCACTACCTTTCTCCCTCTTCTCACTCCGCTCCTCTTCTAGGATCTCCTCGTTGGATCATGGTGGTTAGCAGGACAACGACGAGGAGGACTACAACGATGAGAGAAGAAGACGGAAGAAGCGGATCATCTCCTCTCTTCTCTTTCCCCCCTCTTCTACGATCTCGTCCTCGTTCCTACGAGCAGAGGGAGAGAGGATGTTGGCGGTGAGGAGGAGCAAACTGCCGTGGCCATACCTTTCGTCTTACGGATCGCACGAATTTCACTATTGTACCGGTAAAACAGAACAATAAGTTCCCACAAAATCACACAAAGTGCTTAACAGGAACCCCCACTTTTCTGCCCATAGGTTAACCCCCTCGCCGCCCACCACCACCCCTACCTCGACGGCCTTGAGAAAAGTTGGGATATCATACTTCAGTCATCTGATCAGCCCCAGGTAACTTCACAGTTATTTTCAGTCATCTGATTCCATCGGGATTCGAACTCGGATCTGTATTTCAGAGAGTTCAAGGGAGTAGTGGTCATCTGATTCCATCGGGATTCCAACTGACCTACGCCAGCTGTGTTGTGGTCTGATTCTCGTTCCGCAGGGAAAGTGCTCCTATAGAAGCAGATCGCGCTGTTTTTTTTTTTTTTGTTTTTTTTTGATCCGCAAGATACGTCCTTTTCTTTTTTTTGTCCAAGCCGAAAACAACCAGGTTGCGTTTGGGTGTGCAGCCCCTCTTTTTTTTTTTCTTTTTTTTTCTTTTTTTTTCTTTTTTTTTTTTTTTTTTTTTTTTTTTTTTTTTTTTTTTTTTTTTTTTTTTTTCTTTTTTAGCCCAGTAATGGTATTTATTGTCACAACCCCCCATATGTCAGGATTGGGTAATTTATGCGCCTGTTGCCTTCCTTGGATGTGGTCGGGTTTAACTCGTCACCTGCGGAATAATCATTGTGTACTTTAACCCAAAATCCTCGATGCAGAAATATCGAGGAAAATCCTCGAAGTGAATTTGTGCCGCACAACCCAAAATACTTAAAAGATAAGCACGAAAATGGTCACCTTTTTTTTTTTTTTTTTTTTTTTTACAACGCATATCTTCACCGTTTTAACCTATTTTAACAATTACCCTTGAACGACACCTACTACTGTCTTATTCAACTTTGATCATTACCGTCCACATTATGGTTCTCGATATTTCTACGTTTTGATTAGCGTTTTTTTTTTTTTTTTTTTTTTTCCCAAATCACTTTGCCTCAACGTCACGGATTATTCTCGGACCACCTGTTTCTTCTACCTGATAGTGTTGCCGGCACCAATTGACTGATAAATTAATAATAACCATAGAAATAGTAAAAGACGTTTAAGACTGAATCTGACCGCGATTACGACCCGGATCATCCGAAAAAAGTCCGACGTCATGTGTCGCCTGGTATGCATCGTTCTCGCGACCGCTACAAACAGTCATCGATCGTGACCGAGGAAAAAAATTCGTTATTTTGTTTTTTTTTTTGTTTTCGCCTCATCTTCTCATTAAATCAAAAAAAAAAAAAGCAATCATCAAATCGAATTGCAATTCCTTTTTTTTTTTTTCGGGCGGGAAGGGGGGTGGGGAAGGACTTCAAGTTTTATTACGGACTGCAACTCCTTTTGGATAGCACAGCACTCGTACTCTGCGCACTGCTCAGAAATATCTTTCAAAAATGTAAATAATAATTCAATAAAAATCAATGTATAATATGTATGCTGCAGTATGCAGTCTGTCACAGCCCCTTTTCTTTGACCCTCTTCTCCCTCTCTGCCTACGGTTCACCGCGCATTTCGTTTTTTGTATTTTTAAAACTAATCAGAACAGATACTACGCTTGATTGATCTTTCCCAAAACGTCGTTCCTTAAATGCGATATGGTTGTTCGTAAAATAAAGAAAGGGATTCCGAGGCAGCAGTTCCCAATGCTATGTACTCCCCCTCGTCCCAATCAAATTTATTATAGAGGCTATCTTCTTTTCAAATTCTTCTTTATTCTCTAAATAGTAAATAGTTCTATAATATTTAATTAAATAAAGAATCTAATTGAATTCACAATAAAAATGATATTGTTAAATTACCCCCTACCCGACTATATCTCGTCCGTGGACACCGGATCTTCAGGAGCCGTTACCGGTAATTTCCCGGTAGCGCTACCGTTACGGCTACCGTTACCGCTTCTTCTGCCTTTACCTTTTTTTTTTTTAAATTCAATAAGGGCGACGGCCTTGAGCCACCTCTTCGGCGCCCTTGATTATGTCGACTGCCCATATCGCTGCAAGGTTATGATCCGCTGGCATGGGACGGATCATAGCCTTCTTCCCCCGAATACAACTAACGGCCAGTTTCGCTGAATCTAGACTGAAAGATGAGCCAAATTAGGCTATAATGACCGTACGCTCTATTCCGGCAAAATACGGAAGACGTCCAGCTTCTTGTTGGATTGTGTTTCAAGTTTCATAAAAACGTTTTTTTTTTTTTTAAAGGGCGACGGCGTTGTGACATCATCATCGAACTGAAAGACCCAAGGTAGTTCAGAATTTGAGTATTTTGCTCATCTGCTTCCAGTGGAGCTCGAGCTCAGGTCTGTATTTCAACAGTTCAGGGCGTGTACCAACTGAGCTAGGCCATTCGATAAAAAAACGTTTTCCTATTATCGGCCCCTCGATCGTTTTCTATCTCCACGAATCGTATTCCGTAGAGACAAATTCATTCCTAATTTCCTCAAGTATTTCCTATTTGGGAAACAATCGAGACGCTTGTGTATTTAACTGGTTAAGTATACATAATTCCGCCAGTGATGAGTTAACCCGGCCGGCGTACCCATATGCCGGAAAAATCCGTGTGACTGTCTGACGATCAAAAAAAAATTAAAAAAAAAAAGACGCTTGTGTATTTCTGAATAAATTCCACGACTCATCGATCTCGGAAATTACGTCGTCTACCTCGGGATCCCAACAGTCCACTCTCGGATTTCAACCTCATCGACCATCGAAAAAAGTTTCACTTCCATAAACACGAAAAACGGAGAATTTCCTTTTTTTTCCCCCTTTTTCTTTCGTCAATTGCGTAAGAAATAAATATTCAAACATTTATATATACCCCCCAAAGGATGTCATTACTCTAAACCTCCCCAATCAGCGAAACCTCGTGTTAAACTTATCGGACATTACTCTCTTTTTCCTCTTTGCGCGCTTTTAAACTCTTCCAATCAGACAAAAAAAACAGATGTGAATTTGGAATTTCACAAACGGGATGAAACGCCTCAAGAACACTCTCCACACCGTGAGGGCAATCAACGCACCTGGTCGTCTTGCCCACTGTTTCTCTCTCTCTCTCTCTCTCTCTCTCTCTCTCTCTCTCTCTCTCTCTCTCTCTCTCTCTCTCTCTCTCTCTCTCCCCCCGTGAGGGCACGCGGCTCTAGCGCAACTGCGGGCTACGAGGACCGGATGATCATAGCGCGCACATGATTATCGCCGCACAAGATGAAGATGTCACACAGGACGTGGCGCGCAGCGGATATCCCACAGGCAATGTCGCACAGATGATGCGCGCATTCAAACCGGTTCATTCGTCTGACATCCATAGCTCTCTCTCTCTCTCTCTCTCTCTCTCTCTCTCTCTCTCTCTCTCTCTCTCTCTCTCTCTCTCTCTCTCTTTGTGTGTGCGTGTGTGAATGTTGTGGAATCGCTAAAAGTAACCACACAAACAAGAGCGACTGAGACAAACTGTTTCATTTCATCTACACTTCACCAAGCGATCGAATCTGGAAACGAGGCACGAAATCTGCGAGTGCGCGCGAGGCACAAAAGCTGGGAACGACCGCGAGGCTGTGGGTCACAGGCACGCGCTCAGAGGAGCACCGGAGGGTAGCCGGTCGAAACGCGTCGGGAAATGTACGCGTTAGTCTGCGTACAGAAGACACGTGGATATGTACTGTTTCCATCGGAAAGCACGTGTCCGCCTTTGCTTGTTTCTATATCAGGGACGGCCTATGTCTCAGCGCCCGTGTATCTGTTCCCGTTTGGTCAGAATCCCTCAGGAAAAAGGCGGACAAAAAAGAAAAGAGCGAGTAGCCTGCTTCGTCGAACCTCCGCGGACTCACCTCGACTCTCCGCTCCTTGTTCACACATCTTTCTCCACCATGCATCCTCTCTTTTCCAGTCTATACTTCGCCGACGAACGCTCTGCGCCGCACCGTCTGTCGCTATCACTCGCTGCCCCGCCGAGTACGCTCCATGCGATCTACGTCTTCCCGCCTCCCCAGCATACTTTCCCATCGACTTGCTGGCGGCCGATACCGTTAAAAAACACACGTTGACCCGAAAAAAAGTGCACCCGATGATAATACCTCAAGGCCATCGCCCTTTATTAAACGCCTCCCCAGCATACTTTCCCATCGACTTGCTGGCGGCCGATACCGTTAAAAAACACACGTTGACCCGAAAAAAAGTGCACCCGATGATAATACCTCAAGGCCATCGCCCTTTATTAAAAAAAAAAAAAAAAAAAAAAAAGTGCACCTCCCCTTTTATGTCTCCCGACAACGGCTGGGCCGTTACTGTTCATCACTATAGGAGTACCGGCAACGGCTGGGCCCAGAATGTCTTTGAATGGTCCTACGGGGGGGACCATGGCCCGCTTGCCCAGTGCCCAGGGGTCAACAGATAAACCAGGGGCTACGATAGGGCCCACTAGGCAGGAGGGAGGTTCCACTAGTAGTCTGTAGTCTGTAGGTTCCACTAGTAGCCATGTATTTGGGTAAGTGTATAGGGTGTGCAGTGTGACCGCCAGGCACCGTGGATTCGGCCAGAAATCACCTGTGACGTGTTTTCGTGAACTAAGTGGGGGGAAAGGATGGTGTTTCTTTTTTTTTTAAATAACAGGCCCGGGACCTCACAATTCTACCCGGAAAAATTTTAAGAAAACAATTCTACCCCGATTATTGACAGCATCAGCCAGCTTACAGGCGTTTGCCTGCCGAAAGTAATCAACTTCCCAGATCTCTGAGGAAAAATCCATTTCTCACATGAAGTAGCACTAGCTACCAAAAACCTCACAGATTTCCAAACATTACTGTAACAGAAGGCTTCTCCTCTTCAGTTCTGGCACAGCTTTCTGCTCCTGCTGCATCCGGCACTTGAAAGGGGCAGTATGAGCGGGGCGTAAAAGAAAACGGGGACAAAACAGACCCCTTGTAGCAGCGGAGTTTCCACGTGGGTTGCAGCGCGTTTCGTTTTGTTGGGTGGGTGGTGGGGGGGGCACCAAAAGGTGGCCGTTTGGGCGGACAGTTCAGAAAAGAGTGCAGCGCGACGCACCGCGAGCATATCCTACCGACACGGGAAAAAAAAAAAAAAAAAACCCTTCTCATTTGCAACAGGGGACAGCCTGGCTGTCTTCGATCTTCCCTCAATCTTTTTCAGTGGCGATCATTCCCTGGCCGCCACGACACCAAACGTTTCTACTTGCTTCCTAAGCTGGCGCCACCCCCTGCACGTGCGGAAAGCGGTGGGATCGGGCTAAACACTACTTTTTACTTACCGTACGTAGTGTGGGATCAGACTGTAAGTTCCTCAGTAATAAAACGGCGAGGAGGCATGTGGCTATTTTCGCAGGGAAGATGGAATCTGAGAGAAGAGGGAGACGGGCGGTGCGGCCGTGCTGCGGTAACCTTAGCGCTAATTCCTCACGGCGCTAATCCCACACATGGTTAGTGTGTGTACGGAAATTAGCAATCAGGGACACCCTGCCCGGTTCAAAGGGCCAATGGCGATGGCGTCAACACCTGAGTAGGGATGCAGATTCGTCACTACTCAGCTGTGATAACTATCCTTTGGCTTCCCATCGGGAACTCTGAATGATAGGAGAGGAGGCGACAACAACCGGAGGTTTACGTAGCAGGACTTTACCTGGCGCTAACTACATGCGGACAGCTCAACCATGAGGCAAAGGGGTAATCTCTCACCATCGTAAGCTGGCCTTTCCCACTCGAAGTAGAGTGTGAAGTAGGCAAGATCGGCTAACTCATATAACAGATAGGGAGGTTTTTATCTGTGTGTTTTGGTTATTAGCAATTAGTACGGTTCCGGACACGCCGGCTTCATCTACCCCTGAGGACAAACGGAGAATAAGAGAAATATTGGAGGATTGCTATTCCAAGGGCATCCTCCCGGAAGTTTGCAACTCATGTGGTAGAGACGGGGCCATATTTTGTTCGAGTGTAACAAAGAAGTGTACCAAGTTCAGGCGGATTGGCTCCGTCTGCATGTGGTCTCAATTCATTTCGGGGACTATACGACATCTCTCCCAGTGAAAGTTAAAAACCGGTTGGTTCGGATTTATGAAGAGGGGTGGGCCAAATCGGGAGCTCTAAACGTGGTGCCCAAGCGAGGCATATTTCGACATGAGGATCGTAATCTGGTGACTTATGTTGCGAGTGCTAAAGAAATAGCCACTTGGATGTTACGGAAGAGACATGATGTTATCGAAATGGATAAAAAGTAGTACATTGTTTCCTTTCATCCATGGATGATAGAGAATCAGATGTATGAGTGGAACGAAGCCATGAGTTATAGATTTTTTTGGATTCGGATCCTCTAAGTCCCGGTGTCTGTGTTTCCCCATCATTAGGGGGCGGTCATGAAGGCTTTTGGCGCAGTGCTGCGCTCTGCGCCAGCCTTCTCTGACCCGATAGCACCGGACTTATGGACAATTCGTTTTGACTTGACGTCGTCGGCCCGTTTAAAATACAAGAGACGTCTGGCGGTAGATATGGGAGACTATGGGTTTGTTGAATTGGAAGTTGCCAGTTCATACTCACCTTGGTGTAGTGTGTGCAGAAGATTCTTCCTCTCTGACACCGATGCCTCATGCCCACAAAAGGTCAGCTACAAGGCGGCTTTATCAAAGGACAAAGAAGTGATGGAGAAGGGGAGAGGAAAAGGGAGAGAAGAAGGGGGGAAACCTGCAGAAGGTTCAGATGGGAAGGAGGGTGTTGTTGCCTCAAAATCCAAGGAGAAATCCTTGGATGAGGACACATCTAACGGCAAATCACATGCCCACCAACGAAAGTGTGCATCAGTCAAGCAGAAAGGGAAATGAAGGAGAAAAAGTAAGGGGAGGACCGGACTGACCAAAGAGAAAGGAGATCGTACAGGGGGAGAGGAGGAAACGAAGGTTCAAGGGGAAGGGAAAAAAGAAAAAGGAAAAGCAGTTCCAGGGGAAATGGAGGAGGAGGAGGAACAGACGAAAGACATACAAATGGAGGATGACGAAGAGGAGGATGACGAAGAGGAGGATGGATTTTAAAAATCCGAAAAAGATGGAGAAGGGGGACGAACACAGTCCACTGAACAAGGAAGGCCCTGACATAATCGAGGAATGTGGTAAATGTGGAACAAAATGAGGACACAGGGCTGATGAACCTAGTTAATAAATTAGACTCAGAAGCCCTAGGTTTTACCCTCCCAAGGGAGAATATCTCAAAGCCACATGTGCATCAACAGCTGGAGGTGGGTTCGCAGATGGAGAAGATAGAACCCCACACTATAAATGTGGACGAACAGGAACAAGAGAATTTGAAAACCTCGGAGGCGGTAGGGTCTAAACTTTTGTTCAATGCTAAGGAAACTGCTAAAAAAACATTAAAAATTTACCAAAGAGGAATAAAACGACAAATCGTACAATGCAGGACACAGACCCGGAGCCAAAACGTTGTTGAGCGCATCGGCTCCCGCCTTTTCGCAAAGGCGAGAGCCCTCCCGGCCGCGTCAAAACAAAACAAAAATCAAGAGACAACTAAGGACGATGCATAAATGATCCTGCGAACCGCCGAGACGGACGCGGTTGCATTGTCCCTTCGCCGCTCTAGCCGGGTGCACCAGCTGTACAGCCCACGGTCCCCTACGACAAGATAGGTTCTCGCGGGGCACATCTTACATTCCCTAATGGGCTGTCACCACCCTCAAGGGCGTATCCCTACCGAGCTACTGACCCACGTGCGAAAGTTTTCACGTGCAATTGCAGAGGTAGATCAGTCGAGGGCGTTTGCTCGCTCGCTGGAGTATAGGTACGCTTGGTTAACGCCAAGTGGACTCGAACGATGTCCGTCCCCTAGGGCGCTGATCTCCTAGGTACGAATGAACGTCGGTCGACTAGGACGGTTTCAACCAAACGTGAAACTCACAATATAATCCTAGTCCCTTTATAACTCTCTGACCCCAAGATAAATAAATAAAATCAACACACTTTATATCCAATCACACAGGATTGAATTTTGACTTAATGAGGTTATCTGGCAAAGTTATTCTCCCCGGCCTATATGACTGAAGATGCGATTATTCCGCCGCTTTCGAGGCGGGGACTCAATATTGACGAAAGATTAGGAAGGACAACCTAACCTTTCACTTACGGTTGGGTCTGTCGACACCTATCAAACCTTGCCAGGAATGACTTTTGCAAGTAAATTTCACTGCCACCATGTAGATCAACAAGTGATTTGGTTCCTGACCGAAGTTTGAACTCTCGGCTCGACCCCCCCTCCGTATTATATGTAACTTGCTTGGAGGAAAGTATTATCTAGCGAATAAAATTTATGTTGGTCGCTTTATCCTCCTGGGCAATAATTACTTTTTCTGTTCCACGAATGATGGAGTACCCATCTACATCATTAGATCATTAAAAACAAAACCGCAGTCGTTATGACCGCGCGAAGAGAACCATCGCATTCTTGTCCTACTTCTTCTTGTGGGCTGGAGCTTCTTCTGCCTCCGATACGCACCTATCCCTCTAGGAAGTGGTATTGTGGATACTCCTTCCCCTCGCCCGAGCCCGAAGACTCGGATCTCAGAGGTTGGCCCGTGACCACTGAGTCGGCAGAGTACCACCAAAATCGGGTCCACTCCAAGTCGTTAACATGACCGACTTCGAAAACATACGAACCTCCGTCTTGGATGCTTCCTAGAGAGAAAGGTTGTGTTCGCAACGAGTAGGTTTTTTTTTTCTCATTACTCATAAGTTTTTGGTAACTTAAAAAAACTGAGGAAGATAGACAACGGGGATCATTTGAACAAGTATAGGTAGATAAGGTCGTTCGGGATAAAAAAAGTTAATAATGGAGAGAAAGCTAAATCCGTTTGACCTTATCTGCTTTATTTCAATAGAACTCATTTTG